AGTGAGAGAGGAAGCGGTCAGAGGGAGTGGGAGGGGGAGGAGGGAGAAAATGGTGAGAGCTGTGGCAGGGGAAAGGAGACTGGTACAGAGATCGAAAGAAGGACCCGTTGTATGCTGCACTTCCCATGGATGAGACGTGAGCTACTCCCTCCTGCCCCCCCATGGCCCTTAACCCCCTCAGGCTCCTCCTGGCCCCTTCCTCCCTACTCCTCCTCCTACTCCCCCCCCTCCTCTCCCTCCTGTCACTCTCCCGTTACCTGGTGTGGATTAGGAAGCCGCGTCGTTCTCCCGGGGCCAAGAGGAGCCTGAGGGGGTTCAGGGCCATGGGGGGGCAGGAGGGAGTAGCTCACGTCTCATCCAAGGGAAGTGCAGCATACAACGGGTCCTTCTTTCGATCACTGTACCAGTCTCCCTTCCCCCTGCCAACAGCTCTCACCATTTTCTCCCTCCTCCCCCTCCCCCTCCCTCTGACCCGCTTCCTCTCTCCCTATCTCTCTCCCTCCCTCTCCCCCTCTACCGTGCTCCTCCCTTTCCTCCTTCCCCAACAATCAGAATCCTTGCTTCTCCTACAGCACTTACGTAGGAACCTTGGGATCGTCAGGGATCCAGTCTTCAAGCATGTGACCGTCCCAGTCCTCTAGCCCGTTGATTCGCGGCATCTGCTCCCCTTCAGCTGGTTTTCCGCACAAGTCTCCTCCTACCGTCACGTTGCAAGCCCGTCCAATGACGCGCCAATGCTTTGGGGTCATTTCTTTCCCGCGGCTGAGAGAGAGGGTGAGAGCTGGAGATGAGGATTTGAACAAAGAGGATGACGAAAAAAGCAGGAGGACGAGGAGGGAGAGGGACGAGGAGGAGGATCAAGAAGAGGAGGAGAACCTGGTCCCTTCGCACGTGTACACTGTGATGTTCATGGGATACGAAGGCTCCTGCAACACGTACTGATGCACAAAGTCCTTCTCGGCCGTTGTTTCGCTGCCCAGAGGTGAAGGTCAGACGAACCCGGCGGGGAGGAGAAGCTCAGGGCTCACGAGGCCTGCGGGTTTGAGAAGCCATGGGCTGCTGTCTTGATGGCGAAGATTTCAATGCTCTTGTTCTTCGCCTGCACATCTGCTGGGGCAGTCAGCAATCTGGCGAGCCTCCCGTTGCATGTCGACCGAGAAAGAGTCCTTGCTCGGCTCCGATGCTGCAGCGATCCATCCTTGTGGTGCAGAATCGGTAAGTGCCGTTTTTGAAATGGCATGTCTTGAAGGTCGGAGGGTCTAACTCGATCGGAGGCTCGTCATCCGACTGCAGAAACTCTCAGCTCACAACAATGTTGCTACAAGGCTGACTCGTCCACGCCACTCTCACCTTTCTTGCCTTGTTGATGACTCTGCATCACAGCATGTCATTGTCAGGCCAGAGATGGGGAAGACGATACTCACTCCAACGACCGGTTCTTGAAGTATTCGATGATATCCTCCTGCTTCACGTTGTACTTGTCCTCGAAGTACTCGATGGGAAGGTCATCAAAGGATGGTTTGCTCCAGTCCTTCTCTCCTTCAAAGTAAGATGTATTGATATCTACAGGAAAGCTCCACGCTATGTAATCTTCTGTGACCTCCTCCGTCACGTTCGGAATCTGATCGCCTACCAAGCCATCGCTTTCTTGTATCTTCCCACCTCTCAGCCTCAAGGCACATCCCGACGAGACGGCAGGAGGAGGAGCGAGCGACGAGTGTCTTGTCGCCATGGACGTCGAGAAGGACCCGAAGCTCATCGGACTGAGCGAGCACACCAGCAGCAGCATCACCTGCTGCAAGCTGCCCGCCATTGCGCCCACATTCATCGCCCACATGCACCCCTTATGCATTGGAGGCTTGCTGGGAGGCTTGCCAGGCTGGGACTCGCCGGGACGGAGGCTCCGGGAGTGGCTGACGGAGCCTCAGGGCCTCGGAGGCTTGACTCTCAGCGCGCCGCCGCACTTCAAGCGGCCCCGGCCGGCCGCACTCAGCCGTCACGCGGGGCCGCCGCCGGTACCGGACTTGAAGATAAGGATTGCCAAGCAGAGTTCGAGTCGCGGCCGCCCTCGCCGCCCGGCGGCGCGGCGGCGGCGCCCGGCCCGGCCCGGCTGGCCGCCACACCGGGCCGTGAACTTCGAAACCGGGGGCGCCTGGCGCGGCTGCAGCCAGCCCCCCCGCGGCCGCCGGCGGTGCCGAACTCCGAGCCTCGCCGGACTCGAGGGGCAGTGCCACGGTGCTCAGTGCGCGAACAGGCTTGGATGAGTCACAGTGAAGGCCGTACCATTGATCACTGTCATGTCGGCGGCCCCGGGCCTGCCCCCACTCTGACCGTGTGCCAGTGACCGTACTCACTGAAGTGACTTTCGTGAGTCACTAAACTTGATCGTATCGCGTTGCCGCTGGGCCGCTCGGAGTGCCAAGTTTACCGACCGTACTCACTGGCTGGGACTCCGACTCGGGGCGGCCCGGGGCCCGGCTCGGTCACGGAAACTTTGCCAGCTCAAGTTGAAGCCGACGGTGGAAGGCTCAGGGCCGGGGAGGCACTGCAGGGCAGGGGTATGATCCCGGCGGGGTACTAGGAAGGTTCAAGCAGGTACTGTTAGGAATTTTGCTCTCGGTCATGAGGGGGTGGTCCTGACTAGGCCCTACCCTAGCGGATACTCTTAAGTACCCCTGGAGGTGGTGGTGCTGATACCCGGGTTACCGGGGGAGGGCTGATTGTGATGCCAAGAAGTTCCCGGCCGGAGCCTCCGACCATGGGGTAGGGGTCATCATGATTAGACCGGTGTGAATATGATCCGGCAACTGAGACCGGGAAGATGTGCTGGGTGGTTGGGTTCGCGGTTCTCTGTGAAGGTGTGTGGCTGTCTGAGACGGGATGGAAG